TAAAAAAAAAAAAAAAAAAAAAAAGGAAGCCAAATAATATATTTGTCTACCGAAGACAAACGAAAATAATGATCGATACACGTTTAGACACCCGATACAAACCACGCGCCTTCTTTATCTTCAACAGATACACCATAAGAATATGGTAATGCCATGCGTCTTAAGTCCTGGTCTTCGCCCTTGAAAGGGTAAGAAATAGACGCAAGATTAACGTCCATTGTTCTCTTTCTCAAATGTTCTTTTTTGTTTCACGGGACTTCTAGCTTCAATCACTTCAGACTCCTTCTTTGTGACAGATTCATCTGGCTTACCAGCGTTCATGTCCCCCAGTGGAAGGCCACCACCATTTGATGATGCTTGCTTTCGCATAGCTCGAGGTATTTTCAAAGGTATATCTGTGTCAATTATATTTTTCTCTACCTTAGGGGCAACCAAAGAGTTTTCAGGTCTAGATGAGTGCATTTTCAGTGGTATGTTCGCTTCATTGATGCTATTATCTTCTTTCTTGGGGACTTCAGAATTATCTTCAGAGGAAGGTGGAGGATCTGTAACAACAAGTACTGGGGGCTTCACCTTCCCCCATTTCTTTCTTGGATTAGCCTTCTGAGCATTTGATTTTGCCTGCAAAAAGAAATAATTAAAACACTCAAGTAATCTGTATTGCATCCAGTTCACACACAACGACAGAAAACAAATTAATGATTTAATGCAGAATTAGATAGGTTTCATAAGACGCACCAGTGTATTTCCAATATCAGAAAGAGGTTTTCTTGGCCCATGATCACTGTGGGCTTCAGCAGGCCCCTCAACCAGTGCACCGTGAAGCAATTCAGCCCCTTGAGCAGCAAGAAGGCGATCTTTGTTTGATTCCTCAATACTGGAATCATTACCAGTCCCTTCAACTTGTGACTCATTCGAGACTGATATTCTGTTGGCACACTTGGATGCTAAGCAACCACAAGAACTCCCACAAGTGCCGCCCAGAGCTTTGCACTTGCATTTGTTTGTCTTGCAAGAAGAAGATTTACTACAAGAGCAGCAGATTCCTGATGCAGTTTCCCCAGATGCACCTCCATTTGCTTCTGTTGAATTATCTTTTACATCTTCTGAACTGATATTTGACTGATTGTCTTCCATGCTTGCACGTCTGCTCTTAGACTTTCTTTTCCTAACATGTATTTTTTCTGATGCTACGCATTCATCATCTTCTGATGCTACCCATTCATCATCAGTCCCATTTTTAGCATAATCATCTGCTTCTGTGTCTGATATTGATAAATCCATATCCTCCAATAAAATTGTAGATCGCCGGTTTTCCTAAATGATAACCAAATGATCATTAACTATAGTATCAAAAGAAAACGTGATGTATAATGAGATTTGTAGGCACATTAAGAGATCTAGTGATATTGCAAGAGACTTACCATCTTGCGCAAGTCATACTTATGTCCTACACCAGTTGTGTAATACACCGAATCCCCCACAGATTCTGAGTACCTCTTTGCCCTCTGTCATAAGTTTTAATATTATGGTTAAAACCAGAAAAAGAAAAGAAATTACCATAATTAGAGAATCACAGTTACAAAAATAAGGACCATTACTTCTTCAATTTGATAAACTGCAACTTAAATTTGGAAAGGAGAAAAAATTTCAAGTTTCATTAAATCTGTTCAATTTTAAGTTGCATTGCAAAATTTATTTCTCAAGCTAAATCTCGATGAAGTGGAGCTCTCGACCAAACATACTAACCAGCAACTTCAACTGATGAATGAGTTCAGACTTCTGCATTTCCAACTGTCGAAGTGAACAGCTCAACCTTACTACTTTTTCTTTCATATCTCTTATTTCCATGTCCTTCTCCCTGCAGGCAACTTCTCTATCTCGCAATGAACACCTGAAATATATAAAGCCATTGAAAAAAAAAATTCAGTCATGTGTCATCACAAAGATAACTACTGATTTGCTTAAGATTAATAGATACTGTTTTTTAGTTAACTTTAATCATAGACCATAAATTTACAAGCATATAAAGCTACTACCTGGAGGAAGATGCCAGATTAAACAAATGATTCATCAAATTCTTGGCTTCAGAAAGGGAACGGACTTGGTTCCAACGCCCCTTGCCACTGAAAACCCGTTCCCGCTCTTCTGCCTCTGACAACTGAGACGCCATTGTTAGCAGTGTTGTAGAAGAAGAAGCAATCATCTTATCGAGGGCATATATCCTTGAATTTCTTGCTCCCGGAGACATTGATACGAGGCCATCACTATATTAGCAATCAGGCAAGCAGATGTTGTCAATTATAGATTTCCAAAAACAAAGATTGTTCAATAAATAAATGGCTTATGTAACTGTCTGGCCTTATCACCTTGAATTGTTTAACTTCATCATATCTGCTTCTTCCTTTAATCTTGCAATCTCCTTGGCCATTTTAGTCCTCCTGTTATGAATAGATTGTGAGGAAAACATCCACCGGTGGATATTATCAATACATTTAGATCAGGATAATCAGTAAATCGATCCAAGTTATCTCTTTTTAAAGTCAAATCATCCACAGGAAAATTAAACGAGCAAACATTACATAAATGTAACAAATACAAACAAATAAAATTGACTTCATCCAATATCTCTATGATCCATACTTCAATTTAAATGTAAAACTAACATGAAAGGCAGATCTAAAAGGCAGTTGCAAAATTTATGGTCAAATTTAATCAGTGTGTTTGGAAATCCGTTCAAAACAAGTTAAACGGACATTTTTCACTTTCCGATGCAAAAAAGCTAAAGCAAGTGATGTGTTGCTTTTGTGTTACGTTAAAGCAAGTGATGTGTTGCTTTTGTGTTACGTTCAACCTAATTGAAAAACAAACACATCCTAAAACATCCTACTCAATCTAAAGGTTTCAGATAAGAATCTAAGAGTGTGTTTGAGATAGCTGCAAATTTTTAATTATTTTGATAATGATTTTTTAAATAATTGATTATTCTTATAATCAATTACAATCAAAATCTAATTTTGCTTGGATAAATTTGTTAAAAAATGATACCAAGATAATTAATTTCAATTGGATACTTAAAAAAAGTAAGCTTTTTGTTGGTAAATTTGGGAATTACAATGATAAAAGAGAAATAAGCAGTTGAAGAATAATCAAACAGCTCAAAGTTTAAGATGTTGAAAGCAAGTGATGTGTTGCTTTTGTGTTACGTTCAACCTAATTGAAAAACAAACACATCCTAAAACATCCTACTCAATCTAAAGGTTTCAGATAAGAATCTAAGAGTGTGTTTGAGATAGCTGCAAATTTTTAATTATGTTTATAATGATTTTTTAAATAATTGATTATTCTTATAATCAATTACAATCAAAATCTAATTTTGCTTGGATAAATTTGTTAAAAAATGATACCAAGATAATTAATTTCAATTGGATACTTAAAAAAAGTAAGCTTTTTGTTGGTAAATTTGGGAATTACAATGATAAAAGAGAAATAAGCAGTTGAAGAATAATCAAACAGCTCAAAGTTTAAGATGTTGAAAAACGGCTTTTTTTTTTTTAATTTCAGCATCTTTCTCAAACATGTAGCTTAAATCATAAACAGCTTTTTTATTATAAAAACAGCTAAAATTTTGGGAAAAAAGCTTTCCTAAACACACTATAAATGTAAAAAGTAGAACATACTCTTCTGTTTGACGCTCATGTGCTGAGCGTACTTCGTGCACTCGGACTGTGACTTCAAGCTCATGCTCAATTGCCTGCATCAAAGCCTGCAAATAAAAACAATTATCAAATGTCAAGTAGAAGTTATTAAAACACCAAGACATCAGCCATAAAATACCGTGATGGAATCATAGTAGTATTAAAAATAAACTACCCCATGTCCCCACGATACACACATTAAAAAAGGGTAGAATATAGAATATTAGCCCCGTCGAGAACTGGTCATTGCTTAGGAAACAATTTAGTCATTGTGATTCACAAGCATAGAAAAAGAAGTACCTGAATTCCTGGACCATTCCCACCTGTGTGTAAAAAAGGAACTGCCTGTTAATAAGTTCACAAAACAGGAAAAGATTCGTAGCACTGTAAATCTCCTGACCTGTAGTTTCGCGTGAAGTCTTTCGAGATTCCAAAAGTTCTTTTAGCCTTTTTGTGGCTAAGGAAGCTTCTTCTGTCTTCCTTTGCAATACCTGTAATGAACTCATGAATAATAATGGGAATAATCAACAGTAAAGCTTGATATCCAAACCAGGCCCCAAAAGCAACTTGTTTGAACATCTACTTACCATCTTTTGCCTCTGATTCAACGCTAACAGCTTATGCATCTCATATTCATTCCTCCTTCCTTCTTTTTTAAGCTGAAAATTACGCAAAATATGTATTAGAAGATTCACTAATAACTGATCAACTTGTTCATGTTAGACACTAGAGGTCCTTCCTTATATGCAAGTGATCAGCAAATAAATTAAGTACCTGCAAAGTATAGATAGATAATATTTTCACACCATTATCGAATGGAAAAAATAATACCAATCTATAATGATTTCCCTCCGTACAATTGCAGAAGAATGTTGTGATAAAATAAAAAGGGATATTTTTATTAAAAAAAGTTAAAGAAAAGTATTCTATGCTGAATTTACCTGGAGAACTTCCTTCTCACGCGAAGCTTTCCATAGCCTAAATTGTTCTGATTCCTGCTTAATCTTATGTTGCAATTGAACCTGAAGAGAAAAAAAAAGCTTGTCGGTAATAACTATAAAGGAAAAGAAAAAATAAAACACTGCTTTCCGCTTCAAACTGAATATAAGTTGCATTAGCAGGACCATTGCACCTTTTGAGATTTAATTCTGTGGATTTCATCCTGAAGTCGTTTTGCAGCCTCATCACTTTTCTGTTTTTGTTTCAACAGATGAGCCTGAGCTTCTTGTTTCTTCTTCAACTCAGAGACCTGGAAAGAAAATAATCAGTTCACCACATTGAGTGGCACTTAAGAGTTGAGACATTCCAAGTGATAAGTTCACCTGTGCCTCAAGAGCATTTAACTTCTGAAGATATTCCGCCTTTAACTTTTGAGCACCATCATCAGAGGTGGATGAAATATTTGCAAGATTGTACCTAAGTTCCTCAATTTCTTTCTGCAAATAATAGGAACAGAGTTATAAAGGTAACAGTTTAAATTGAATATAATTCAAGATAGCACAGATCAAATACCTGCAAAAATTTCTTCTCTTGTTCTAACTCAAGAATTTTTTTTTCAAACTCTTGCTCATGACTATACTTCTTCAAATCAGCCTTCAAAAAAAAAAAAAGAATAAAAAAAATTAGGCAGTAAACAGATAAATCATCTTCTAAAATCAATACTATATATGTAAGAAAATGCATATCAGCAAATTTGTATAAATTGATAAAGATCCTTCACAAGTTTGAAACTAGATCCTGAAATTTTTACCTCTTTTTGTTCAAGTTTCTTATCCAATTCTTTGAGCTCCCTACCCAACTTTTCTTGAAGAGAAGAGTGTTCTATCTCCTTTGCATGATCTTCCTCATCTGCTTACAGGTTGCACAATGTTAAAAACTAGCAGAAAGGCAGTGGTGTACAATTTTCAAAATTCTATTGTGGTTTGTGAAAATATGATATATTAGAGAACATATTTTTGTGTATAAATTATATTCCTATTCTTATCAAAACAATATGCCCCATCACAAGCAAAAGGAATACCTTCTTTTAAACGCATGCCATCTGCGCCAGTTCTTTTTGCACGTTCAGAACCAGCAAGGTCCACCAAGTGTAGTTTTGCACACAAGACATCATCACCACTCTTTTGCTCCATTGTTATTGTGAATATTGCATGTGACCGACTAGACAAAGCACATGAACCAATTCACCGTTTCAGTCGAGGGGAAATTTCAATATGCATTATATTAGGGTAAACTTATCAAATCAAACAATAAAATAAAATAAAATAATAAAAAAAAAAAAGAGAGAGACACCGCAGACTTGATTATAGCATTTTACCTTGATTGACTGTTCATGTTCGTACTCCCAGTCGCACGTGACAGTGAACCTCGAGAAAGATAAGATGACATTTCTTCTTTAGTCTTAACTTCGGCCTCGGTCACACCAGCCAGTGTTATTCCTCCATTCACTGTTTCTCTAATTTGTATGGGAACTCTGCTGGGAGCAGCGGCCTTCCCAGTAGCAGCCGCATCTCCTCTAGCTGAACTGGGATCAAGCAAATCAAATACCTCTTCCTTGAATATCTGTCATCATATTAACCCAGTTCAAACTTCAAGGTTTCAAAAGCCTGATCACAATTACGGAGAAAATTCATTATACGTATTCTTTACCTCGATAAAAGATACCCTAATCAAAAACTCTGAAGATTCCTTCATAGTCTGAACCCTCTTGAATATTGTCTCCATCACCTTGGGTATAATTCCACCCGCATTTTCCTCTCCAGTATAGTTGGTGCCCATGGTGTATGTCTTCCCAGATCCAGTCTGAGCACAAAAAAAAAAAAAAAAAAACAGTCAATGCATACTACATATAACAAATCAAAGTTTCTGAAACACAAATTTTCCAATCATCAAAGACAAAACCAAATGCGAAACTATACCTGGCCATACGCAAGAACGGTTGCATTGTAGCCATTGAAAAGCGCATCTACAAGTGGAGCTACGCAATCATCGTATATTGCAGACGACCGAGATCCCGTACTACCATAAACATAGTCATAAGTGAAAGCGTGTGACCCAATTTGCACCTACACAACAATTTTGTACATGCTTACAAATTCCAACATACACTAAATCCAAAAACATAACATAAATTGAGTGCGTAAGAGCAAATGCAACATACAACATGAACAGAGCATTCAAATCCAAACGGAAAACACACCTGAGGTTCACCAGGGACGACGGAGATGCAATCTGTGCACCCGAGCATAAGCTCCGACGTGATCAGAGGCCGAATGTTGACGGCAACCCGCACGCTCTGCGCCGATTCGGAATTCTCCATCTCAAGCCAATTCAAATCAGCCTCGGGACTGGAAACCCTGAAACACAATCAAATCGCAAACATTAATCTCACTTTGAGTCTCACTCATTTCTTTCAATCTCGCATAACAGCGAATGATTGTGAAAGAGGGTGGAGGGTGGAGCGTGGGAGCAGGTGAAGTATCGAAATGGAATTTGGAGAGTGAACTTTGCTTACCTCCTGCGAGAGAGCGACAGTGTGAGAGAGAGAAGAGAGTGAGAACAAAGAACGAAGTGTTCTGCGATTTGAACAGAGGAGCGAGGGGAGTGGACGCGATTTTGAATGTGGATGTGTTGGGTTGGATTAAAGTGGATTTCATAAAACGGCGCTTAGGTCCGAATTCAAATGAGGAATTTGGTCACGCGCGTGTCACGTGCGATGACGAATGTCAATGAAACTCTAACGGTAACAATAGCATTGACACATGGAAACCCTACCAATAATGCATTATTATTTAAAGCATACTCCATTAATGCTTTTCGCTCAAATGTGCACAACCGAGCTTGTATAAACTTTTCAGTTAACGATCTTTTGCACTTTGAAATATGCCACTTTGTTCTTTTTTATCATAATAAATACAAAAAATTGTTTTTATTTATCTAAATTATTTTCAATCATAATATCATCGGTTTCATCAGTATGGGACATTGGAACTAGGAGATAGCTTAAAATTTAGTTGAATAACATTCGTGGGCATTGGAAAATCACTTTCACATTGATACAATAAAATAAGACATAAATATCTTCTTAATTTTTATAAATAGGATTAAAAACAATATTTTAATTTCATCTCGACAATGCTTAAAAAAAATTAAATAATTTATATTATCACTTGTTATGATATGATGATGTAATAACAAGTAAATTGTTGGTACAAGTGGATTGATTTTTGTCTCCTTAAACAAATTATTGAGTAGGGATTAAAATTAGTTTATCATTGAGAAGTTTCAAATGTTCATTAAATTCAAAGTTTCAAACCTTTTTTATTAGAATAGTAAATTTGAGTCTAATTCAAGCCTACAAAATTGACTTAAGGTAAGGGTTACTTTTCACTTATATATTATTTAATTGTTTAATCTCTAATTGATGTGAAATTTGAGTTTTTCACAATACACTCCTTATTTTTCACTTATATATTATTTAATTGCTTAATCTTTAGTCGATGTGGGACTTGAATTTTTTCCAATACACCCCTTCATGTCCAACACTATTGGGCTTGATACCTGAATAAATGGTGGGTGACCCATTTTAATGTTCTAGAATTGGCGAGACTTGAATTTTTTTTTAATACACCCCCTCATGCCCATGAGACAGTTGATGTGAGATTTGAGTTTTTCACAATACATTCCTTATTTTTCACTTATATACTATTTAATTGTTTAATCTTTAGTCGATGTGGGACTTGAATTTTTCCCAATACACCCTCTCTATTGGGCTTGATACGTGAATAAATGGTGGGTGACCCTTTTTAATGTTCTAGGATTGGCGGGACTTGAATTTTTTTTTTTCAATACACCCCCTCATGCCCATGAGACATGTATCAATGGTGAGTGACCCATTTAAAGTGGATATAGATGGCTCTGATACTATATTAGAATAGTAGATTTGAGTTTAACTCAACCCAACAAAATCAGCTTTTAAGATGAGGGTTGTTTTCTACTTATATACTATTTAATTGTCTAATTTCTAGTCAATTTGGGACTTGAATTTTTCCCAATACTTTTTCTCTTCCCAATGCTTTTTTTACTATTATTTCCTTGAAAAGTGCTTGAATTAATATTTTGCAATTAAAAACTTACTCCAACACTTGTAAGTATAATTTATTCATTATCACCTAATTCTTCCTTTAGAACTATATTGTCACTCACAAAGTACAAATAATATTTATCATTTTCATTTAAATCATTAGGTAATATCATCTTTGAACATTGTAGTTAAATCATTGGTAAAAGCAAGTCCTTTATATAGAAATTTTCTATGTAGTAAAATTTCCTACATGTTTATGGGTAATCAACACAATATATAACATAAAGGAATAAAAAAAAACTTTTAACTTCACATTAAAAAACTTCATATATATATATATATATATAGGGAAATGCTAATATACTCCCACTTATTTTTTAGTGGGAGTATGTTAGTAACATACACCAAAATTTTAGGACAAAAAAACCACTCATTTCTTTTGATTTGGTTAATTTGTATAAAAGATATTATAGTAATTGAATTTAATTTTAAATGAAAATAAAATATTTTCTCTCTCTTATTAATTTCATTCTCTAAATCATTTATTTTTTCTATTAATAAATTTTTATTTGTTCAGAGAGAGAGGAGGGAGACATCATGAGAGATGAAAGAGAAATGAGTTAAAGAAAGAATTTAATAGGAGAGAGATAAATAAGTTAGATAAAGAATTTAATAAGAAAGAAAAATGAGTTGGAGAAGAAATTTAATAAGAGAGAGAATT